GCCGACCTTTTTATGAGGGAAGGTCGGAATTATTCTGCCGTCTGCTGTTTCTATAATTAAGAGGCGAGTTATTGGATATTCAGTAATAAGAAGAAGAATCTCTCGCGCGGAAAAATAATCCTCCTTCGGCTTGAAATCGAAATCGCGCGTTGTGTCGCTGCCGAATTACAAATTCAAATAGCTCTTGCGCAAGACGCTGAATACCAAATGACGAGCCGCATGTCAAACGCAGCTCGAATCGAGCAATTTGAATGAGGCCGTAATTGCAGCCGCGCTACTGCCAGCCCGGGCCTCTTTTCAAGGGGAATGCAAACGAACACAATCAGAGAAAAAATAAATTGTATCACGGCGCGCGGCGGGCTTCGATCGCCGCCCCAGCATTATTTATTTTTCTCTTTCTTTATTTCTTTCCTTTTTATTTTCCGCCGACTTGCCACTGTGCACGGCAGCACATTGTGTGAATCTAACGTCTTTCGCGCATAATTGTGTTCCAAATTGAGCTACTTACTCTGATTGGGTTGGGCAAACTGTGATTCGGACCCGTTTTTCTCTTTATTTTTTTTTACAATATTAAAATATACAAAAAATTAGACTCGCATCAGAATTTTTTTCATCTGAAATTTAAAACTATTAATTTTTTGTGTCAAAATTTTCAAGCATTTCCATTTCTTTTCTGCATTTTAATTTTTTCACGCCTTCCAAAGCAAACACACCTTTTCATTTTCGTTTCCCCTGGGTGGGAAAATGTCGGAGGGAAACCGATTTCCATTGTTTGAGGGCCACAAGCGATCGAGGAAGGTGTTACCAATAACAAGCCTGCGCAACCCCTGGCTGTGCTAGGATGTCTCACTCTCTTCTATGCTCACTCATTGTAAATTGGCAATGATTAATGATGGCAATGAGTTTCTTCCATTCTTTCTTTTTCACTCTCCTTCTTTTTAATTTCCCTGCGCTCGACTGCGAGACGCAGTCATTTTTTATTTTTCGCTCGTTTTTCTCTAATCTCTCGGCGCGCTCGGTGGAATTATATGTATTTCGCGCGCCGTTCAACCGTGCCGAGCTTTGTGTTTTTTCCGTACAAAATAAATAATGAGTGCGAGAGCGCGGCGAGTATAATTTTTCACGCGCCGAAAATTTTCATGTGCGCGCAGTTGCAGCTGTCACGCGGCTCGAGAAAAAAAAATGAATTCAATAACCTCTGATTGCCCAGAGTCGTCGTCATCCTTTGTTGTACTTGAAAATCGATCGAAACTTTTGCCATCTTGGAAGAAAATTGATGGAATAAACAGTCGCTTTTTGTTAACATTTATTCACATAAAAAGCAGTCTTTGGAAAAAGTTGCAAGTCAGTAAAGAAGTTTGAACAAATATTAATTTTTATTAAATGAAATAAAAAAGAGTTTCCTCGTTTATTATCATTTTCAAATATTCAAACAAATTTTGATAGGAAAGTTCCAATTTTTTTTCAACATTCTCCTAATAAAATAACCGGATATTTTCATATTTCTGCATGAGTGTGCGTTTCAGAATGATTTTCACGATTTCGGAGCTTCCAGCATTCCAACACAACACCTCTTTTTCATTCTTTTCTCTCTAGCCTCAGCCGCAAATCCCTACTTTTTGTAAATTTTTCTCTTTATGAACAACACAGAGAGTTGGTCCGGCGCGTTCTTCTTCGTCTTCTCTCTGCTGCGTGGCAGCACCTTTTGTCAATTATTCACACTTTGTTGATGAGGCTGGCCTTGCTCGCGAGCTGCATGAACAATGCTCGGCGAAAATATGAAACTCGCACAGCTCTCGCTCGCATCCATCAAAAATCATCTCCCGCGCGGCTGCTTCGTCTTTCTTTCCTTTGTCCGCGGCTTATTATTCGGGGGAGCTGCCAAGAGGGACCAGGTGTTATAATCTTGGTGCAGAACGAAGAAAAGAGGACGCTCTCGGCTTGCACACGATGCAGAGAGAAAAACCAGTCGCGATTAAAAATTCACCCCCGAGTACAATCTAATGGATCTGCTCCGAAATAAATCAGACCGATAAATAATATTGATTGGCTGCATTGTAAAAAAAAAACGGAAGGGACTATGCACGTTGGAAACAATCCGTTTGTTAACTAACACCACCCTTTCCTTAACCCCATTACGTTTTATGTGAATTTCGAAAGGAAGATAAAAGGACTCGCGGCGGCGGCGGCGACACATCTGCGTTGATAAATAATAAAAAACGCGTGCACCCCTGTTTCGAGCTTACCCCACCCTTATTATTGGAGATAGATAAATCATTAAGAATTGCGATCGGGGAGGGACTAATCAGGCGCACGAAATTACCCTGCGAGAGTTAAAAAATGGATGCGTCATGCATGAGTCGCGCGCCCGCGCCGGCACGCATGGGAAAAGAATAAATTAGCAATTAAAGAGAGAGCAACTTGGGTCCAACTTTGCACAAATGAAACTCGATAGGAAAACGGGAAACGTTATTTTTTTTCTGACCGGAACAATGGAATCTGCATGGTTCATTGACGTAGGCGCAAACAATATGAGGAGGAAAAAGGATGCATCGCTTGTTTTGGGGGTGAATGGACAGTTTTGTGTATGCAAAAGCAAGCTGGAAGGGACAAAAAAAAATTGCGCTTTTTGTTTCGTTTTTCACGCATCATCGATGTCAAAGCCATTAAAATAAAAGCAAAGAGGGTTTCAGATTGTAAAGCACATTTGGTACAGACTGAATGCATAACGGAAAAAATCTGTTTAGTGACATGATTCATCTTTCAAACTGATTTTTTTAGCTGAAAATTAAATAAATATTCCGGATTTTAATAATTTTCCAAAATAATAATTGTTGCAAATTTAAATAAAATGAAATGAAAACAAATCTAATAAAAAATTAATTAATATCTTAAAACTGTTCAGAAGAAGACGATTTTAAATTTTTTTATAGCTTTTAGTGCAATTTATAGTTGAATTATTTTAATGAAAAATTAAATAAAAAATCAATACATTGGAAACTTTGCTCAAGACTGAATTCATTATTTTTATAATTTATTTAAATTTTCTCTCTCTCAATTTGAATTTTTCCTTCATACTTCTGTCTTTGTTTGAGTATTTCCTTCTTTACTTTTTATTCCAACCGCCGTCTCGGTGCAAATTTTTCTAGGCTGCTCGTTCTCGCCCGCGCTGCTGCTCTCGGCGCTCGGAGCAGCGAGCGCGCGAGGAGGAGAAAGAAATTGCTTGGCTCGTTTCGCACACAGCATCCCGAAGTAGCGGCTCAGGACCAATGAACGGGTGCGCTAGCTGATTGGATAAGACGTAAGAAAAAGGGGCGGGATCGTTAGCCCGCGATGCTCGGTATATGCGCGCGATATTATGATCATCATTATTATTATTACCGGCAACGCCAGCACCGGCGGAGAACGTTGCGGAAAAGAGCGGCGGCGCTAATGAGCGCGACCTGCGCGAAAACCAGTGCAGAGAAGAAACCAGAGGACGCCATTGCTGATCAGCATAACTTGATTTATTTCTCGGATGGCAGATTTTTTTCTTCATTAATCAAACTTTCTAAGCAATAAAAAATCCAATAATTCATTTTAATTAAAATTCCTTAACTGAATATTTTTTAAATATTATTTTTTGTTTTGATAACAAATGATATTTTTTCTTATATATTTTGCTTTGAAAAAAATTCCCAAATTAGCAGGGAGTCGAGCGTCAAACAAGGCACGTTCCCTTAATCTGCATATCAAAATGCACGCGTCACACTGCACTATTTTGCATATTTAAAGCGACGCGTGTAAACACCTCTCTCGTATCATCTCGCCAGCAGGGGCTGGTTTTTGAATGCAACGAAAAAGGATAAATCCAAGTGCGTGAATAAATAAATAGAGAGAGAGACGGCGCGAGATAAAAAATATACACCAATTTGCATACGGGGGTAGTCGCGAGGGATTTTTTTTTCATTCGTGCGCCTCTTTTGTACATTTGTAGTAACGAGATGCATATTCAAATCAGGGACCAAACCAAATTGCTGTTTAGCAGACGTGTGGCTCGCACGAGAGGTGTTGAAGAAAAAAAAATTTAAATGAGACACTTGTGAAGTGCCAAACTTTGGAGATTAAAATTAAAATCAAAGGCAATCAATTTATGGTTCAATTTTTTCTCATTCGTCTTGGTCAGAATTGAAAATGCCCGGATTTTCCCATGATGGAAGATTTCATTATTCTTTCCGCATTAAGAAAACGTTTTTTGTTCTGCCCAGGTCTATTCAGCAGCGGTAGCGCATTCTCAATAACAATTGATGCCGAATAATCAACGGCCGCTTTATTGGTGATTTCTGTCTGCGCCGCCGTGTGTGTGTTATTATTGCAGCAGCACCTCGGCCATCAGCTACTGTGGGAATCGCTCCACAGACAATGCGACGGCACCCAGATGGAATGGCCTGCCCAAATGAAAGAAAGAAGCGCGGCCGATTCTTTCGCTTTTTCATTCAAATCGTTTCCAGAGACAAAGAGGCGACCGGGCCACGATTTCTTGAACGCGTTTCTTCATTAAAACGTTCCCACGAGAGAGTTGCTTTGGAAACAAGTGTCAATCGACTGGACTTGAGGTGAATGATTTTTCACAGGCTAACATGCAGCAGATGAATATTAAATTTACCTCCGGGTTAATTCTGTTTCTTTTATCAAATTTATATTTTATAATAACACTTCTCTGCAATAATTAAAATTATTGAAAATAAAATAGTCTAAAAATGTATATTTAAATTTAGTTTGCCAAAAAATATTTCATTAATTATAAATTAAAATATATTAAAAAAAAATGTGATTTTAAATTTCAAATTTTCCTATTCCTTTTGGGGCCGTATTAATTCCAATTTTCAATTTCGAGCAAAAGCCTAACTGAAATTTTGTCTTCCCGAGCATTGAAACTGAAATAAAAATGAAACGAAAAAATAACTAGCTAAAAATCCTAATGCACGCCGACATTTAAATTAATTAAAATTGGTACTCACCATTGTTGGGGAAGACACCGGGGTGGAGGAAGAGGTTGTTCTGTCCCGCAGCCTGGGCGGCCGCGGCCATGCCGTAGAGTTGCTGCAGCAGGGCCATCTCCTCGGGCGACTTGTCCTTGGTCTCCTTGTTGTTGTTGGCGGCGGCGAAGGCCGAGAGGGCGGCCGTGAGCGCCGGCGGAGAGAGGCCCGTCAGTCCGGCCATCTGCAGCATCTGCTGCTGCGACTTGTCTTGGGCCTGCTGCTGCTGCTGGGGCGAGGGAGCTGTAGGCAGGGCAAAAGAAGAAGGGTTGGAGTCAGCGTTCAGATACAATTTCAGGTTATCAATGTGGCCCCTGGTGAAGATGTGGTCTTGCACCGAGTACTTGTGCGAGTACTTAAAGCCGCCGCACACGGTGCACTCGTCGGGCGGCGGCCGCTCCACGGCCAGGCCCGCGTTTTGCAGCGACAATTTGTGCTTCTTCTCTTTAGCGCGCGCGTTTTGGAACCACACCTGCACCACCCGCTTCTGCAAACCGATCTCGCGGCCCAGCATCTCGCACTCGGCCATTGTTGGCGTTTTGTAATCGGAAAAGAGCGATTTCATGATTTTGACCTGCAAACTGGACATTTGCGTGCGGAAGCGTTTGTTCTGGCCGCCGCCTGCGCCACCACCACCTGAGGCACCGCCACCACCACCACCACCAGAAGAGCCAAAGACGCCGAATGACTGAGTGCTCGACGCCGGCGAGGTCGGGTTGCTCAGAAATTCGTCGTTCACATCGGCAAAATTGAACTCAGTTTCGCTTTCAAATTCCTCACCTAGATAGTTGCGTTGCTGCTGCTGGTTGTCCTCGCCCTCGGGGTCGAATCCGTCCATCCGCATGGCAGGCAGGGGTCGTGCGCCGGAAAGGTCCACGGGCTTGCTCAGGTCGAGCGGCGACTCACCTGTGGCCCCGGTGGGACCACTGGCGGTCCCACTCGGCTGCTCCTCCTTGACCTTGACCTCGTCCTTGGCCGCCGAGTGCGCCTGCAGCTCGCTCAGGTAGCGCTTCATGCTCTCCTCGTAGTATTTTTTGAGCGAGTTTTCCATGTCACCAGTGGCGGCGCCGAAGGGTGGGAAAATGGGCGGCATGAGGGGCGGGGTGGTGGCGGGCTTCGAGTCCGACTGCTCTTCCATGCTGAGCTCCTCGTCAGGCAGCGCGTCGATGTTGATTTCGCCACGGGTGCACTGGTCAGCGTGTTTGGTCACCAAATGCGACTCGAGGGCCGACTTGACTTTGAAAAGAGCCGGACAGAAAGGGCACCGTTTGTTGATGACCTGAGCGTGCGCCCTGAATTGACCCTTCCGCTCCCTGGCCCTGGTGTTTTGGAACCAGACCTGAACCACTCTCTTCTTCAGCCCAACCTCCCTGGCGATGTTCTCGAGCATTTTTCGGCTGGGGTTGCTCTCGATTTGGTACTTTTGGTAGAGGTAGTCGAGCTGCTCGGGTAGGATGGTGGTTCGCAGCCGCTTGTCCTTCGGATGGTCTTCGCGTTCGTCCTCCAGCTCTTCCATTTTGCGTTTTTGCTGCATGGGCGTCGGAGTCCCTGGTTCGGAGCCCTCGGAGCAGGAAGCGGCCGAGTGAGTTGAGGCCGTTTGTTGTTGCTGCTGCTGGTGCAGGGCGTGCTGCTGGAGGATGCCGAAGGGTGAGTCAGGAGGGTAGGTCGGGAAGAGATTGGGGTTCATCAGGTGTACCAACTGGTGCTCACGCCAAAGGTCGAATCTGGGAAACACCAGGTTGCACTTGTCGCACTGGAAGCTGCTCTCCGGAGCCAAAGTGGCCGACGGCGACTTGGTGGCGCTTCGAGAGGGTGACTCTGCTGATGGAACTGGAGAGGGCGGCACCGGAGAGGTTGCGAACAGCGACGACGGCGCCGGCGGCAAGTTGGCTGGATTCGACATTTGGCCGCTCGGCTCGGCGGAGGAGTTTGAGTCCTCAGAGGACATGACGGCTGCGATTTGGGCTGCGGCCGCCTGCGCCTGAGCAGAGCGCTTGGCATCCTCTTCTTTGAAGCAGTGCGTTTTCTGGTGACGGATTAACTCGTAGTACCTCTGGAAGACCAGCAGGCACTTTTTGCATTGATAGTTGAGGCCAGGGGTTCGCTGGAAACGTCCAGTTCCGTCGTCAGTGGGCGCCTCGACAGGTGGTTGATTTTCGTACACCTTTCTGGCCTTTTGGCGCGCGTTCTGAAACCACACGACGATTACCCGCGGGCTCAAGCTGAGCAACTTGGACAAGTACTCGAGGTCATCATCCTTCGGGTAGGCGTTGTTTTCGAAAAACTCCTGCAGCACCTTGATTTGGTAATCTGTAAAACGGGTGCGATTGGCGCGCTTACCGGACGATGAGCAGCCGGAGGAGTTGCTGCCGTTCGAGTTACTTAGCTGCGGGTTGTAGCAGTCCATGGCCGAGGGCTGGCTGGGCGAGCGGCTGCTCGGACTCACACTCGGAGGAATCAGCGGCTGGCCCATGAAGTTCATCTTGGGCGGCGGCAGCATGTTGCTCGGGGTCATGCTGCAGCTGCTGGAACTGGACGACGGCGACGACGTCACCGGCGGCTGCGGCATCTCGAGCTGCTGTGAGATCAGGTTGGTCAGGGACATTTGCTGATGGTGCTGCTGCTGCTGCGACTGCTCCACCTCCATCGGGGGTTCAATCACCTTGATCATGGCCTCCTCTTTTTTCTCCTCCTTTGGCTCAATTTTTACCTCCTGCAGGGGCAGAGGAGGCGGCGGCGGTGGGGGCGGCTGCTGTTGTTGTTGCTGCTGCTGCTGCGCCTTTTTGTTTTTTGACGACCCAGCCAACGCCTGCTGCTGAATGCATTTTTGCTCTTCACTCGAAAGAGGAACCACCTTGGCCTCGCCCGTCTTCTCGTACTCCTCCAAATTCAGGGTGGTTGACGGAGGGTTGTTGAAATTGTACGGAGAGTCTTTGTTGCGCTGCCGCTCCTTGAAGAGGGTGTTTCTGAACCAGTGCTTGATGACCTTGGGTGGCAGACCACTCTGTCCTGCCATTTCGTTGATGGCCTCCTCCGAAGGTGAGTTGTTGATGTCAAAGTGAGCTCGCAGGATTTTGAGCTGGTCGTCTGTGATTCTCGTCCTTGCCCTTTTCTGCTGCGTTTGAGGCGGAGCAGATGACTGAGCGTTGGAAGAAGAACCTCCCTGAGAGGAGTTGGACTGCGACTGCTGCTGGCCCATCATTTGTTGCTGCTTGGCCAACATCTGCTGGTCCATGGGGCTGAAGAGTTGCCCAAGAGGATCAAAAGGAGGCGGCATCATCATTGGCACGAGGGGCGGCTGCAAATTCATGGCGGCCAGGGCGTTCATGTTGAGCCCAAGAGGAAGCCCCATGCCCAAAGAGGCCATGCCCATCATCATTGGGTTGAACTGGAGTTGCTGCAACTGCGAGGCGGCCATGGCGTTGAGGGCTGCCTGCATTTCGTTCATCTGCTGCATCATGTTGGCCTGCATATTTGGAATGCTGTCGGTGCTCGAGGCTGGCGTGCTGCTGGCCGTCGGCGTGCTTGCGTTGGTTGGCGTGACCTCTGTGCTCTTGGGCTGCACGGCCTCCTCAGGGTCTTTTTCAGGGGTGGCGTCCGGAGTCGAGCGATCAGTCCGCTTATTTTCATACTCATTTTTGAACTGCTGGGCGTACTTTTCCAGGAACTCCTGCGGCACCAAGTCTTTGTGCACCTCCTCGCAGTGCGCCTTCAGCACCCACACACTGCTGAATTCTTTTTTGCAGTGCTGACAGGTCGATTTGGCCACTTCAGGAATGTTGATCTCCTCCTGCGGAACGGCTTCTGGAGCTGGAGGAGTAGCCGCCTTCTCTTGGGCTGCCTCCACCTCTTTGGCCGCGGCTTCTTTGGCCTTTTCCTCCTCCTCTTTGATCAGTTCTCTGCGTCTGCGTTGGTGGTTCTCGTTGAACTGCATGACCAACTCAAAGCCGTAGCTCTCGAGCAGGTGCTTGTACATTTGGGACGGCCTCCGGGCGGCGGCCATCATTTTGCTGAACTGACCTTCTTCCAGCAGCTGCTGCGGCGTGGAAGAGTTGAGCGGCTGCGGCACCGGACTTGGCGTTTTGTTGCCGGTCGGAGAGGTCTCGTTGAAAATGGCGTTGCCTGGACCGAACATGCAATACAGCTGTTGGTGCTGCTGAAGCTGGTCAGAGGAAGAAAAGAGCGCCGAGCACTTTGGGCAGGCGTGGATGCTGCTGTTTGCCGAGGAGGATGAGGTGGTCTCGTTCAGCGGCGACATCAACTGATTTGACGAGGAGTTTGGCGACTGCTCCACCGAGTTCGGCGAGGCCCTGGTGATGTCTTGCTTGGGCGACTCCGAAGGGAGCTTTTTGAGATCGGGTTGCTCAATGAGCGGACGACTGAGATCAATCTGGCCGGTGATGGCCAGTTCCTGCAGTTTGGAGGCGCGCGTCTGGTGCAGCACCGAGCGCATGTGAATGTCAAGGGTGGAGCCCTGGCTGTAGGCCACCTTGCAGATGTTGCACTTGTACGGCTTCTTGTCATCCTCATCCTTGCCACCGGTGAGACCATTGTTGTTATTATTGTTGTGCGTCTGCAGGTGCTGCTCCTGCATGGCGCGCTTGAGCTTGTGCAAATGACTCACAGAGTTGTAGTGAACAAGAAGAATATTCTTTTGAGTGAAACTCTCCTTGCAGACGTCGCACTTGTACGGTCTGTTGGGGTCCAGGTACTTCTCCATAGGGTAGCTCAACTTCTCGCCCTTGCGGTGCAGCAGCGTCTTGTTGTGACTGGTCAGGTAGGACTGTCTGGTGAAGGCCACCTTGCACCTGTGGCACTTGTACTTGCGGTTCGGGTCATTGTAGCTGTCCTCGGCAATGGCCTGTGAGTTGAGGTAGTCTTCGAGGAACTGCTGCTCTTTGTAGGCTGAGTCATTTGAGTCGTTCTCCTCAACCTCCTCCTCATTTGCTCCTTCCTCTTCCTCCTCAGGGACTTCACTGCGTTTCAACAACTCGTCTAAACCTCCAGCGCCGGCGGCCAAACCGGCCAGCAGGAGCGGATTGCTCATCATACTCTGCTTGTACTGCATGAGCTCCTCCTCGGAGAGCTCCGTGTGCGCCGTCTCGACATGTTTGTGCAGGGCCAAGACCGAGCGGAAGCTTCTGGAGCACAGCATGCACTTGGTGGCGTCTCTGATCAGGTGGTACTGCGAGTGGAGCTGCAGTTTTTCCATCGTCTTGAACGCCAACGAGCACTGGTTGCATCTGTACTTGTAGACGTGTTTTTCTGACACAGAGGCAATGCCGGGGGCCAGCCCAAGTTTGTTGACGTGGGCGTCCCTGAAGTGGTTCTGCATGGCCGCGGCCGAGGCAAACAGTTGGCCGCACTGGCGCTTCACGCACGGATAGGCGGCGCCGTTGGGTGTTTGGCGCATTTCCAGGTGGCCCGCCTCGCACTGGTGCTGGCAAAGCTCTTCCAAATTGGCACAGGTCTTGCTGCAGGTTTGGCACTTGAACTCGTCCGTCTCCATGGCCTCTTCGTCTTCCTCCTCCTCCTCTTTGGACAAGTCCGTTGGTTGCGGGTTGGAAGAGGATGACGACTCAGGGGTGGCGTTCAGCCAGTGGGAACCTTCAACAAGCATCAACAGCCGCTGCAGACCTTCTGCGTTGACGCTGTGGATCTGCATGACGTGCTTTTCCAGTTGCGGCCGGTCTTTGAAAACGTCCTGGCACAACGGACAGAGGAACTCTTTGGTGGGCGTCGACTCCTTGTCTGAGGAGGACGACGGCGTCGACTGCTGCTGCTGCTGGGCGGCCACCTGCTGCGCGTGTTGCGCCAGCACGTGAGCTTGAATTCGCATCTCGCTGGTGCTGGTGAACGTGCAGAAGGGGCAATTGTGACTGCGTTCGGGGGTCGTCTCGTCAGCCTCCGATTGCTCGAGGGCAAACTTGAGCATGCTGGCCGGGTCTTTGTCAACCTTGGGCTTGCGGTCTGCAAACAGAAAAAGAAGAAAATTAGTTAAAAATTAAAATTAAAAATAAATATGAAAAATATTTTTTTTTTAATTATTAGGCAAATAGGACAAATTTACCAAAAAGAGAGGAACTGAAACTGAAATTAAGAAGTTTCACATTAATTTGATTTAATTTAAGTTGAAGCTCAGTAAAAAAAATATCCCCCACTTTATCAGAAAAGTAATGAACATCAATACATGGAATTTCTTAATTAAATAAAAAAAATTAAATAACAATAAAATTTAAAATTAGAATGTTTTCATACATCATAATGCATAAGTTCACAAGCAGTTTCATTTTATAAACTGCTATATACTTAAATAGGTGTTGCGGTTTTTTTTAATAATAATAATTTTTAGCAGTTTCGGATAAATTCATAAAAAGAGTGTTACGGTTCAATTTTTACAAGAGAAAACTGTCGGCTGAATTTCTAATGAGAGCGACAATTCATAAAATTACAATTGTAAATGAGCTGGTTAAACAAATTTCATCCCCCACAATTGTATGAAAATTGAGCCATTCCGCGAAAATAATTTGAACAACTATTTCCCAGTTTGAAAAATCTCTGGCTGAATTTAAAATTAAGAGTTTGTTTTCTTTGTGCAGCTGAAAATTTATTTCAAAATTTAAAAAAAATTGAAAATAAAAAATTTAAATATTTAGTCAAACAAAACAAATTTACAAAAAAAAAATGAGAAACTGAAATTGTAATTAAGAAGTCTTGCATTTTTATAATTTAATGGCAGTTGAAGCAATAAATTAAAAAAATGCCCCCCACCTTTTCAGAATAACACTCAACACTAGTAATTCCATTGAATTTCTTTATTTTAAAAATATAATTATACTTTAAAATTAGTATTTAATAATTATTTAATTTTTATATTCGAAGAAGTTTCTTTTCTAAAATTGAAGGTGACTTACTTTCTTCCAAATTTTCAAAAATAATCTATGAAGGGATTTTTTCCTGTGTAAAATGTGTGTCTGGAAAAAAAGTATTGCCTTTCTTTTAATTTTTAGTGCCTTGCTAAGTAAAATGTCAGCTGAACTTCTAATGAGAGCGACATAAAATTACAATTGTAAATGAGCTGGTATGACTTTTAAAATAATTTTCCTTCTCTTTTAAGTGTCTGACTCACAATTGCATGAAAATTGAGCCATTCCGCGAAAATAATTCCCACGACCATTTCCCAGTTTCGATTAATCTCTGGCTGAATTTAAAATTAAGATTTTTTGTTGTGTGTGCAGCGGCTGCAGCAATAATAATTACGGTTGCCTGCAATCGAATCACGTCACGAGCGGCGAACAAAAACATACACACACGACAATTAATTCGAAAGGCAAAAAGAACACACCAATTATAATAATAATAAGCGAGCGCGAGCGAGCGGTCGGTCGGCAGGGCGGGTGCATTAGAGTGAGCATAGAATTGCTAATTAGTATGCAAGATTCCGAGATTAGATTCTCATGTTGGAAAATTATACGCGACCGAGAACAACGCGAACTTATTCAAATTACGCCCGGCCGCATAATTTATTCCAGATACGAAAAGTTTTTAACACGAACCGATCCTCTTTGGCACCCGGCCTGAATATTTTTATTAAATTTTTTATACTTCTCCTGAATTTCGCAGAACAGCGAGTTTGGAATCGGTGCCAAACGCGAAATTGGCGGCCGAGAGGCGGCGGTGCACAACAATGGCAATTTTATTATGATTATTTCAATCGAGGGGCGCGAGTGGTAATTATGCGTCGGCAATAATCACGACGAAGGTTACGATAAATAATTTGCGGGCATATCTCTCTCAGTCAGTGTAATGGCCTCAGCGTTATGTGATTATGTTTCTCCGAGTGAGGAGGAATTAAGAGAGAGTCATGACGGTTGTGTTTTAGAAAAAAACACAAATCCCTGCTTCTCGGTCAGATGATTACGTGGAGCGAAATGTGTTTATATGAAATCACGTCCCATTGTGGTTATAATTACTGTTTCACATAATGGTCGGCGCGCAGAGGCGAATGATGCATAAAGCTGCTACAAAATAATAATGGCCGCTGCCGCTGCTATGGAATTAAATTTTAATTTTCTCCGATTCTCTCCTCATTGTCATGACATGTTCTGCCGTCAGCCAGCGCAAGCTCTTCTGATTCGCCGTGAAATTATCCTCGAAAAACGTGCGCCGCCGTAATTTATCACGTTCGACGCGAGCCAAAAATATATATGGAAAAAAATCCTCCCTCTTTTTGGGGAACAAAAGACGGAGAGTCGAGTGCGGATAAATAAAAATCTGTATTGATTGGTGTGGCGGCGAAAAAATGTGCTCGAAAGATTGCCAATGTGTGTGAATAAAAGCTGGTCGGTGGTGCCGCTTCTGTTCGTCCGTCGCATTATTAGCGCCGGGCCTGGTGCCGTGATCAGAGTTCGTTACACTTGCGCGATTGAGGTCAGAATAAAGGCTAATTGTTATTAATGCTGCTCGAGATTCTTTAATTATCGCTGCGCTTTGATTGCACGCTCGCAAACAGGGCAAATAAGAGAGAGATGGCCCCCGGGGGCGCCGCCGCGAACATTGCGAATCGAGAAAAACACAAACACACCGCCCAAGAAAGCCGAGTTTGCTCAAGAATGGGCTGCCAGTCGGTCAATTGGGTTCAAACAGCAAAGATAATAATAATATTAATAAAAAAATAAAAAATTGGAAATTCAAGTCTTTAAAAAGGTAATGAATATTTCTTCAAAATACTCACAAAGAGTAATTATTTAATTTTAATTATGATCCAACATTTATTTTTTAAATAAAGTTTTAAAGACTTTTCTATTCTTTTTTGGTCATTGAATGAAATTTTATACAATTATAAACTTTTAATTTTGTGTTTTTAACTACTTTTGCGAATTGAATTTGATTTCAATTGATTGCAGAAGTGTAAAGCAGGCGAAATCTCAACAGGAAGGACGCCTTTGGTGCCTACTTATTATGTTAAAATCAAATCAAATCCCCTAGAATTTTTCCAGCATAATAAAGGATGTCAATTTCTTATTAAGAGACTAAAATTTAATCATGTATAATTAATTAAAAAAAAGCAATAAAAATATTACATTAAATTACTTGAAAAAATAAATCTTATAATAGTTTCATTAAAAAAATGTTTTATCAATTTAAATATGACTCTATATGGCTGATATTTAGTAAACTGTCTCTAAATAATTTTGTTCTTCAAATTAACTTTATGAAAATAAAATTATATACATTTATGTTCAAACAAGAAATAAAATTGCTCCAATTTCGGAAATAACAGCTAATGTGTTTCCCAGAGTTGAACATGAAAAATTAAGCGCTAAGCACGACTCAGATTGCATGACTGATTACATTAATCGCAGCTGCTTTCGTCGCCAGAACGTCGTGGAATTAGTCGATTAACAATTAATGCGGCTAGGAGGCGAATTCCGGGCTAGCTTTATTGCGAGGCGGCATCTCTCTCTCTCTCTCTCTCTTTCGCAGCTTTATTACGTGCACGAATTACACGCAATCTGCATCATCGAGCAAGAGAGCCTCAGAGAGACGAATGATATTAAAATGCCAAATAAAATCGCCGCGTTGCCACGTTTTGCGCCAGTTCCACGGCAGCACCAGAAAGAAAGAAAAAGAGCAGACGGAATTATTATACGCGCGCGGCCTTTGTCTGCGTCGATAAATTGCAATGAATCACTGCGCGGAGAAAGAAAGAGGCAAAAAATGAACACACTCGGAACGGCGATTAAATAATTGTGCACAGTCACAGCAAACTTTGGCGAAAGGGCAGCCATTTCATCGCGCGCACGATGGAAATAGTTCTTAATTATCGTGCTCATGTGTGTACAAAAATGGAGTTGAGCGGCGGCGGCGGCCGGTTGGTTCTCTCGCGTTCGTTCTCCGTCTGTAATTTAATATGCAAATGAGGCAGCAAACGTGCTTCGTGAAAAGTATCAGGCCGAGATTAGTCATAATACGCGCGCGACAATAAAACGAGCAAACCGAGAAATATTCATATATTTATCATCCGGGGATAAATCACTATTCACGAAAAGTGTCACGGCCGGTCCGAATTTATGGGCCCCTTTTCTTATATTTTTGCCTCGATTTCTTTCGTGACGCCATTGTCGGCGGCAAATGTAATTACGGCCGATAATTAATAATGGAGCAGTTGTGCTGCGCGCACGATATGGTCGGTCGCGGTCACTCCTCGGCAAAGAAGTCGCGGTGCTAAAACATTCAGAGGCGAACGGGGCACTGATTGCCAGATGAATTATTAAATTGATTTATTAAGGCCCGTATTTTAATGCGCGTCGGGAATAAATTGAGTCTCGAGTAGCCTTAACAAGCACCATTATGCAGGTCATATTTTTTTCTCCTTTTATTTAAACGGCGGGGACTAATGTGTGCGAGCGAGAGAGCGACAAGGGCGACAATCAAATTTTAATTTGGCCCGAAGTGAGAGAGTCTGGATTGAACGCATGAATGTGTGTGTGTGTCGATAGATTGTGGGAGGGACGGCAGGGCGATCGCTTCCTGTGTGCTGCGGTTGACACTTTTCAAAAGGTTTCCATTGATGGGTTAAATATTGAGAGTGGGGGAGATGCGATCCTGTGCAAATTTGCGCAGACGATTGACAATTTTAATCACAAAGATAGGGGTTGTTAAGAGGAAACGTTTGATTCTAAATTTTTATCCATTGGTAAGACAAAACAAAATTGAACAAAATTAAAAGGAAATTTTTAAGTGCTGTAACTCCAAAAATTGTGAAAAGCTCGTTAACCAAATCAGTAAATTATAATTATTGCTCCAATCTCAATTAAATACAGAGCTACTATTATTTACATGTTTAATAAATAAAAAAAAATTGTGTATCAAATTTAAGTTAATAGAATTAAAATCAATAAAAATATATATAATCAAATTCATTAAAATTAGCCATGCTTTTCTATAAACTTTGAATTGTAAATTTTGAGCACATCGGAACAATTTATAGATTAATGATTTGAAACTTTATCAATATTGAGAAATAAAACTTTATAGATTGGCTTTAATATAAATTTAAAGTTATCTTATTTAATTAATTAAATATCTTTTAACTAAAGATATTCTAAATAATAAAAAGTGATTAAAAATTACATTGAAAACAAAACATTTTTAATAATTATATAAAATAAATTTAAAATTATTTTATTCCATATTTGGTTTGGGAATAAATTTTTTTATCTTCTAATGTGGCAGACTCTACTGAATAAAATAAAAGTTCTTCAATGTTAAAATTGGGAACTCTTTTAAATATAAATTTGTCCTATTTAAAAATTTAAAAATTAATCATTTATACGCAGGGATAAAATTGCTAACTGACCTGGTGTGTCCACAATTCCCTCAGCGGCCAGCTGCTGCTGGACGGAAGCGTCCAGCTGTGACTGTCCGACGACCTGGAAGACCTCGCCGATGTCTGTGTGCGGCTCCTTGCCCTCGGAGCGTCTCTGCAGTTGGTGGAGCTGCTCCATCTGGAGGTGCTTCATGGAGCGCACGTGCTGCAGCAGGGGCAGTTTGGCGCGACTCGAGAAGCCGCACAGGGCGCAGTGGTAGATGCGCGGCTCGTTGTCGCGCAGGGTGGTCTCCCCTGAGCCCAGGTGGCGGAAAACCATGCGGCTGATCTCGTGGCGCTGGTGGGCGGCGTGCAGCTGCAACTTGTGCGCCGAGTTGGTGTAATAGTCGCACGCGTGGCACCGAACCTGCACAGGGTTGGACACGCTGACGTACTTGAGCTTCCACTCGTTGCGGGCGCCGCCCTCCTTGATGTGGTTGACGTGCTGCAGCCGCTGAAGGTGCTTGTCCGTCTTGCAGTGCAGCTGGAAGTTGGCCTTCAGGTTTGTCTTGTACGTGCACAGTTTGCAGACGTAGTTGCCGCCGACCAGGGCCAGGATCTCCTGCTCCCTCAACTTGGTCCTGTCCTGCGCCAGGTGGTGCGACAGGGCCTCGAGCGAGTCGGTGGCGAACACGGTGCACACGCAGCACTGGAACAACAGGCTCGGGTTCTGCTCAGGTGGCTCCGGGGGCGGTTCCATGGTGTCAGGGTTGAGGCCCATGTCAACGTGGGGGGCCAGCTCGGGAGGAACGTGCGGGGGCAGTTGGCCGCCGGTCATCATCTGGATCAACAGGGCCTGGTTGTAGGCCATGTCGGCCAGGGCAGCCTCGGTGTGGGGCGGCGGCTTTTCACCCTGGAGGGCGGGGTGGAAGTGCAGAAGGGCGGCGGCGGTGGCCGGGTCGACGCCGGACGCGGCCATCTGGCTCTGCAGGGCGCTCAGCTGCTGCATGTGCTTGACGTTTTGCTGGAGAACCATCATGTTGTGCGTGTGCTTCTCGCTGGTCATGTGGATGCGGAGGTTGCGCGCCACGTTGGTCTCGTAATTGCACACGTCGCAGCGGAAGGTGGGTTTGGGCTTGCTGGAGACCGGCGCCGAGGGTGAGCTCGGCACGCTTGTCGGAGCCGGCGGACTGAGGGCCGACATCTTGGGCGGCTGCGGCTGCTGCTGGGGCTCGGAGGGGGGCGGGACGCCGCCGTTCTGCAGCTCCTGCATGTTGTTGAGGTGCTTGTCGGACTGCATGTGGATGCTGAGGTTGCCCTTGGTGGTGGTGCTGTAGTTGCAAACCTCGCAGCGGTACGGTTTGTAGCCGCACGTGTACGTCTCCCCTCGGGCCAGTCGGGGGTGCGGCTGCCCCGCTATGCAGTAGATGCAGCTGGTCTCGCTCTCCGGGTGCTTCTCCTTCATGTGGATCTCCAGCGTCTCCTGGTACTTGTAGTGCCAGTTGCACTTGGGGCACTTGAGGGTTTTGCAGGAATTCCTCGAGTGCATGCCGGCGAGGAGGCCGCCTCCGGACTGGGCCCCTGAGGCCCCGCTGAGACGCGAAGAGGCCAAGATCATCTCGCACTTTGAACATTCGACGCCGCTGGGGCGTCCGGTCAGATGGTCCGGGCAGACCCCGATGGTGGTGCCGGTGAGGAAGTTGGGCGGCGCCGCAGACTGGAACTGAGGTAGGGGCGGCGGCGGCAGTTGGAACTGCTGCTGCTGCTGGAGGAGGGGCGTGTGCGGGGTCGGCGGCTGTTGGAGGGGGGAGGCCGAGTTGGACCTGTTGGGCGCCGACGAGGCAGGGCTGCTCTTGCGGGTCAGGTCTTCGGGAGCCTCCTTTAAGCTCTGGTTGTCCTCGTTGCCGAGGCTGATGGCGGCCGCGGCCATCAGGGACTTCATGGCGTTGGCCGCCACCAGAGAAGCCGCGGCGCTGACGCTGGGCGACGCGGGTCTCCGGGGGGCCACCGCAGGTGGTGCCACTCGCTCGAGGAAGGACACGAGCGGCTCCTTCTCCTTGCCGACGCACTGGATGATGGCCGAGGCGTTCTTCTGCGCCAGGATCTCCTTCTCGTCTTCGAGCAGGGCCACGCTGTGGTCACTCATGGCGTGCGCGACGAACGACTTGGCGTAGCCGAAGGACAGCTTGCAGATGAAGCACATGAGGATCGGCTTGATCGGCACGGCCGTCGCCGCCGAGTCCTCCGAGTCGACGGCAGGGTGGTCCTCCTCGGCGTCAGTCTTCTGCTTCTTCATCTCCTCCTCCTTCTTGTCGCGCACCGTGTAAACGCGGTAGCTGTGCATCACGGGCACCTCAGGAACTATCTTGCTTTTGCTATCACGCATCAGACTGGCGTACGCCTGTCCGTACAAAGCGTTGTACAGCCCGGCCGGGTTGCGGGTCACGTAGAACGCGTTGGCGATCTGCGGGAAGGCGGCCGAGAGTTGCGACGCGTTCGAGCCGCGGCCGTCGACGATGCAGCCGTCCAGCTGCGGCACGTCGACGCCGTCGTCGTCGCTCAGCTCACTGTCCTCGATGATGTACGCCGAGCCATCCGGGTTGTACACGATTTTGCCGTCAAAACGTTCGACATCATCTGAAGACGACTCGCCGCCGTTGTTGGCCGCCGCTGACGGCGATGATTGTCTGGGGTCGTCGTCCTCCTCGTCAGAGGGTGCCGAAGACGCCGCCTGGCTCAGTCTCTGCGGCGCCCGCTTCGTTCGGCGCCGCCAACTGCTGCCCCCGGACGCGGGGGGCTGCGGCGGCGGCGTCGAAACCGACGACGGCCCATTCGAGGTGGCGTCGGTGATGGTCGGCGACGAGCCCTCCTGCAGGATGCTCGGCGCCGAGGAAGTGGTGGGCACCGTCATTGGCGTCTCACCAATGGTGCTCGCGGTGGGGGTTGGCATCTCGGGCGATTGGGGTAGCTGCTGGTGGTGGCGGTGCTGGCGGTTGATGCTGTCTTGCGGACCGCACAGCCACCATCACATGTTGGCGGGGAACGGACGATGTCTCTGCTCTGGATGCTGCATCCTCGATTTCAGCTGCGCACCTCCAATCTGAAACACACAAAAAAAAAATTAAATTAAAAATTCGAAATAAAAAACCATTATAATTCAATACAATTTGAACATATTTAAATAATTATAAATATTATAGGAGAATGGATGAAATTTTTTGTTCTTAATTACTTAGGAATTAGTTTTGTGACAATAATTTCGTGGAAATATTTTTGTATAATGAAATTGATATAACCTGAATTTGGCTTCAATTACCGCACTTGATTTATTCCTTATCCCTAAATTTCTGGCTTGCTTTTTCAAGTTCTCTTTTAACATTTACATATTTGGTCACTACATGGCCAGTTTTTTTTTTTTTTTTTTTAGCAATTACTGGAAATTAAAGAGATTACAACCCTCTGCTGTGATGAAAAAACTAATTTTAATTTTCGTGTCCAGCCCACTTATTTGGCCCAGCGTAAAATAATTACAGCCCCGCAATACGCCATTATGCTCTTTTCTCTCATTCTGCTCTGTAATGGATTAAATTATTCATCGCGCTAATCTCCATTGATATCAAGTCCCTCACTCGCGCTCAAATAAGAGGACGCTGGTGACCGTGCTCGAAAATAGCCCGTGCATGTTGAGCAATAATTTACTCCTCCGCCGTTAATAATAAGAGTGATTATTCAGACCATTAACATTATTTCTCCCTTCAGTTATAATTCAAATAAATGCAGCCGAGCGCGCGGCGTGTACAATTATTGAAATTATTAAGGAAATTGGAAAGCAAGGACGGGACCCGTTCGTGCAGACAATTAAGTATTCCTTTTTATTGTATTTATTATAATGCGCGCGACACTCTGTGATTACTATTTGACCACGGAGGTCTCTTATCAAAAAATTTAATAAATTTGGTAATTTATGCGCGCCGGCCAGCGGACAGGGGGTATATAATTTCCAGTTTGATAGGCCGGCACGAAATAATAATAATTCCTCTTATTTAAATGTTCTAATTCCGAATCAGAATGGAAATAAAGCCGCATGCATTTCCATAAATAAAAAAGAAAGACGGCGGAAAAGGCAAGACCGCCAGCCGATCATTAGCAGCTTTCCGTGTGCGATATCCTTTTTTTCAACCAAATCAAGTCCGTTTCTCGATCTGTTCCCACGAACAGAGAATGAGAGAGATAAAAATTACACCGTTGTATGTATAAAAATATAATTACGAAGGGAATAAAAAGGCACGTTGGCGCCTTTTCGAATCGGGCCGAAATTATTCAATTGTAAAACAACAAAAAGGACGCCCGAGCGAGAGGCTTTAATTTTTTTCGTAATTATCACATTGTTTCGGAGAGGACTGTTCGTTCGTGCCTCTTCCTCGCCGAGTTTAGGAGTTTGATTCCGAGCGAGCGCCCGAGGCCGCGTTTTAATGTGTATGCGTGATGCCCGATTACTGCTCACTATATTTATTTATTTATTGTTGTGTGAGCTCGCGAGAGAGTCTCTTCGAAAGAGAGAAACACGGACGGACAGACGAGGCGCCGAGCGGTGCAAAATGCGCCAAATTATAAGCCCCGGAGAGAAAGAGAGGCGCATCGGTTGGAGCGTTTGATTTTGGGTCTTTAGCGTCATTAAGTCAAATACGACGCGTCGCTGGCTATAATTAAAACCAAGAAGTAAAAAAAGGTCTCACTCGGGGCGTTTTTTATTCCCAATATGAAACGGACTAATCGATTTCCTAATATTTTTTCTGTTGTTTGCCATATCGATGGATGTGGGGCGACGCGGCTATAAAATTAACTTTTTTATTATCGAGCTCAATGTCGCGGTGATTTTTGCAAAGTTTGGCCAATTTTTACGACGCCGCAACTTGAGTTGTAAATCTCCATGTTGTTGGAAGTTTTGAGATTAATTTGATGCAAATTCATGGCGGATATTTATGACTGACTCGTTTCTGTGGGTTTTAGCACAGGTTTTACAAAGTTAAATATTAAAAGAGACTTTCATTTTTTACATTTATTGAAATAAAAATATTATGCCAGTAGAAAATGTATAAACATTAAAACATAATATAACAGAATCCCTCTTAAATTTATAAAATTTAACTGTATTAATTCAAACCTTTATAAATACAAACTTATTGTTTTTTAAATTTATGTCCACCAAATTTACAGATTTAGAACAATTTTAAAAAGATGATATGCATTAATGAAAACTTTTTAAGTTTTGAGTCTATCAAATATCCAACGAAATGAAAAAAAGATAAGAATTAATTGAAAAGGACAAGTTGCCACAAATCACAAAAAATGTTCAAGGTTTTTCTAGGATTTTCATAGCTTGCATCACACGCGTGTGAAATCTGCCGAATCACACCCGGCCTCGACGCACGTTATTCCCATTAACAGTGCAAATCATTTGATGTGTAAAAAAATTACAATTTGCTGGTCTGACGAATGGGGGAAAAAGTGGAAACAATGGTGGCCGCGCGTACGACACGATACAATAATAATTATAAAACCATAGTTTCTCTGATTGGCTCCGGGGCGCGAGTGTAATTTTTCAGCCTTCGTCGTATTATAATTACGAAAAAGAGCGGCCGGAATTGTTATTATACCGCGGGTTTTATCATCTCTCTCTCGGCGCCGTGAGAGATGATGACGATAATAATAAGATGCGCGTATTATTAAAATAATAGAGGCCCATATTGTCTGCCCTGGACGCGTATTTTTTCTCTCTCCGACATCACGCAATTAGACGAAAAGGGGAATAATCGATGACGCCTCGGGGGTTGCTTTTCCTCCCAAGTTCTCGCGGTTGGCCCGCGGCCCAGTCTTTATCCGACAAAACCACCTCTTAAACTTCTTATTGCCGGGTTTCGGCTTGCGATCGGCCGCTTTTCATTCAATTCGCAGAATCAGTTAAAAGATGTTAAAAAAAATGCATAATAAAATAAAACACCGCTTTTCAGGCTGATTGCTCCAAGGGTTAAAATAATTAATCGACACCTGCCATCCAAAGATGTAAAAAAGGAACAGTACAACACCGCTGAAAATTGTTGAAACGCGAAAAGAAAATTTCAAAAGTAACAAAATCTAAAAACATTCTAAAACTTTTTAAACAAATAAAATTAATTTAAAAAATAATTTGTGACAACTTAATTCTTGTAGTGGTGGTGGTGGTTCCGTTTTGCCCAACAATTCCTTTTTCCAAATAAATTTTTTTCAACAATTGATACGACAATTGGAGAAATAAACATAATAATGATAAATATGGATTTTTGCATCAATAATGTAATTTTTAATTTCCATATTTTAAGGGTAAAATTTAATTTTTTTCCCTTTATTAAAATCAAGTTAGGGTGAATCTTTTAGTATTTATGCCCCTATATTGTCTGAATAAAAAGATGGATCTGCTGGCCGAATCGATACTCATCCCCGAGGTGTCAAAAAGCGCTGCGAGAGGGTGGGTGGATTTTCGGTTGTTTTCTGCCGCTGTTGTTTTAATGTGCGTAAAAAAGCGGCCGGCGTTGCTCCGGAACGGGGGAGTTTTAATGAAGTAAAACGCGTATGAGTCATACGCGCGACGCACAAAGCGGTGGCGAGAGAGGAAAAAATGAGGATGGATTGGAAGCTAGCGTAATGTAATTTGCCGAGTGAGTAGTGAGAGAGAGAGAAGCTTTGTGTTTTTTTACTTTTTATTTCTAGCCCTGTGTGCACCCTTTGTGAAAAAGAAGTACTCAATTATGTGAGCGGAGAGGAAAACGAATCGCGATCAATCGATAGAGTAAAATTGATGCCTTTGATTGGGGAAGACAAGTTTTGCTTTCAAGGGGGTTGAAATTAGTTGCATTAATGAAACAGACGTTTCTGTCCTTCAACCCGGAGGGACAAAAAAAAAGATAAAAAAAAAACAAAACCCCAAAAAATTCATAATTATGAGCTTGCAAAATATATTCAGGTGGTTTTGTCAACTTTGTTTACAATCAAATGTTTAGTTCGAGTGCTCTCTTCACTCACTCGGTTCGCACGTCGCGCAAATGCAGCACTGCAAGCTTTTGTTATAGTGTATCGAGTGTCTCGTTTTATTCGACTCAACAATGCCGGCCTGTGTTTGATTGTTGCGCGGCACAAATGGAATAATCTACTTGGATGGTGCTCGAAACGGCGGCAGCCCCTTCGGAGCAATATATAAAGGCCGAGATCGGTTTGATTGGCACTCTGAGATTTGTTTGTCCTTTGATTCAAATCACGCGCCAAGCTGGAGTGACGTGTTCGCAGAATTTGGAAATTTTTATTTGTTCAAACAACCTCAAATTGTAAGATTTATTCAAATTCTATCAGTAAGAGGTGCAAATTTTTAAAAATCATTTACTCTTGGAGCTTTTTTGAATATAAAAATTAATGAAACAGAAAACTTTCAGGAACTAAATTTAATTTATTTATAATTTTGTTTTTCAATATTTTTTTATCGTAATTGAACTTCAAATCCATTATAAAAATATCTTGTCTTTTTTTCCTTTTTCCCTTTGTTTTTGTCACTGAGGTTCTAAATTTGCTAAACATGATTTATTTCATGACTTTAATATTAAATTTATTCCCATTTTTGTTTCCATTTTGTCAATCCTGCCTATTTTGTTCACACCTGTTTTCAAATTAACTCCGGCGCTCATTTTTGGAGCGACAAAAGCGTCATTTTGGGCCGACAGACTGTTGAGGCACTTTTTGCGATTCTCGCAATTTCGCCTTTTGGGATTGCGTTAAGAAACAAAATGGGAGCAGTTTACATGCACAGAGCAAAGGGTGGGGCCTTCTTTCGTTCTTTCTTCTTCTCGCGGCGGCGGCGGCGGGCAAGTCGCTCCCTTTTATGTATTTTCCCACTTGAGACTGGAATAAGGCTGCACTGACTTCGTCTCACTCGTTTTTTCCTAAGTAAGCGTGCAAAAGAAAAGAAAACGGCGCGGAATGAGCGGCGAAATCTCTTTCTTTCTCTCCCGCCTTTTTTTTTTTTGCACATATACTAGGGCGCATACACTGCTCCTCAAGAATTCAATTAAGTGC